CCGGAGGGGGCGGGCCGCGCAGAGGAGAACCCGGCGGCCGCGGGGGTGGGAGGGGCGCGGAGGAGGAACCCACAGGGGACACGTAGCATCGCGAGCACACGGAGGCCACGGGGGGCTGACACGGCGGTGACAGGGACAGCGGAGGACCAGAGGGGTGTGGTATGGCCTTGGGGTCCAGCTAGGGTCAGGGTATCCAGAGGGAAAGTGAGGGCAAGGTGAGGAGGTCCGAGGGCAGGAGGCCTCAGGGCAGCCTACCGTAGTCCTTCCTGCAGAACTTCTTCAGGCTGATGCGGTAGCTGCCACGGGCGGGTTTGCAGTGCAAGTCGCAGTCTGGGAGGAGGGCGCAGGAGGAGGTTGGCACAGATCCCCACCTCCTTCCCCCATCCTTTCCTCTTCCCTTCCTTGAACCCCATTACCCCCTCCCCCTATGGACATGGTGGTCTGGGATCTCCACTCACCCTGGGGGTCCACAGGGCTGCTCTCCTCAGTGGGTCCAGGGACAGGGGTCTCTGGAAAGTATGGGATAATGGCCTGCGTTTGAGGGGGGCAGGGGACTCTGCAGGGCTCAGGAGACAGTTGAGGGGGGCAGGGGGATGTGCAGGGCTCAGGGAACAGGTAGGCAGCAGAGAAAGCTGGGGTGACCTCGTCTGAGGTGGTCTAAGCAGGGCGGCGTCACTCACTAACGCAGGGTGCTACTGGAGAGCGGCTCTGCTGGAAGCCAGGGGCACAGCGGTTGCAGGTGAGGCCAGTGACGCCATCCTTGCAGGGACACTGGCCTGTGGTCTGGTTGCAGGTTTTGCCAGCAGCACCAACAGGGTGACAGTCACAGGCTAAGGACAGAAGTGGGATGGTCAGAAGCCCATCTAGGGATGTGGGAAACCAGAGGGTGAGGGTGTATAGGTGGCAGGTGGCTCACCCCTGCAAGCTCGGCGGTCACTCAGGGCACGGCCCAGGTCTCTATAGAAGCCCTCCCGGCAGTAGTGGCAGTGCCGGCCAGCAGTATTGTGCCGGCAGTTGAGGCAGACACCGCCACTGCGGCGGCCAGACAGTCGGTACAGCTCCATGTTGAAGCGGCAGCGGCGGGCATGGCCATTGCAGGAGCAAGCTGCAGGGAAGGATGGGTCAGGGATAGGCTCGCCTGGTCTAAGATCCCCAGGCGACCCTCCAGGGCCTCACCAAGGCAGGCGTGGGCTTCCCGGGCAGTGGCCCGCTGCCATGGCCTGTCGCAGTAGAAGGGCTTGCAGCGGCTGCAGTCCGGGCCCTCGGTGCCATGCCGGCAGTCGCAGATCAGATGGCCCTGGGGGTCCAGCAGGCACCTGGAGGCATGCCCATTGCACTTACAGCGCCCACCCACCTGGAGCTCAGTGGCAGAGTAGGAGTAAGGGACCATGGCTGTGGAGTCTCTGGTGTCCCCCAGCATGGTAGGCCTTGTGAGCACTATTTGAATGTCTGTGGCGGTCACCCAGTCTTGGAGCACTGGGCTGCTGTCCAGATCCAGGCCTGGCGGGCTGCCATCCTGCACGCTGAAGGCCAGAAGGCCACCACCGTCAGGCTGGGCCTGGGGCTCAGGGAAGCACAGGGCTTCAGGCCCCGGGCCAGCTGGGCCATTAGCAGGGGCAGGCAGGCGGCCGTAATCCAGGCCACAGCAGGAGGAGAAGAAGCCCAGTGGAGCCCAGCTTCGGCCATGGTCCTGAGACTTGAGCAGGGCCACGGAGGTTGGGGGTGGCGAGCAGAAGCGCAAGCTCACGAACACCAGCTCAAAAGCCTTGCCCAGGGGCACTGTGAGGGTCACGTTGAGGGGCACCTGCGTTAGCGAGTCCGAACGCCAGCATAGAGGGCTTGTGGTGCCCCCCTGCGGAGGTTAGGAGGCTGGCAGGGTGTGCCCGCCGCGGATCGGAGGCGTCGCAGGCCCGCGTGGCCGGCCGCCCGCACGTGCTGGACGCCTGCAC